GTGGGGGGGGGGGGGGGACAAAGGATGAGCTCAAGCTGTTAGGTGAGGTGGGCATGGAGAAAGAGGCGCTAGTCCGAGCACAGGGTTATGGAGGAGGCCCTGGGAGATGGGGCGTCAGAGAACGCGGGCACTTCCCAGGGCCCAGCTTCCGTGTCCGCAGGCTGTGCCTCAGGCACCCAGATGTTCACCCCCAGAGGCGCTCCCCTGAGCCTTGGCCACCTGGGTGTTCTATTGGGGTTTCACTGTGCAGGCGCGATCTTTCAATGCACTGGCCCCGGGACTGATGGAACTCAATCTCCAGCCCCGCTCCCCTCTGGAGTTGGGGCTCTGACACCACCCTGAGTCAGCTCTTCAGCATAACCCAGGGGTGCGCCAAGGAGCCCAGCATAGGTAACGGACATCCCAGGAACTTCCAGAGATTGAGGGGCTTCCCCTGAGACCCAGGGACAAGGACCACCACAGAATTCATTACACAGCACACTGGGCGTGGCCGGGTGGTCAGAGCTCAGGTGGCCAGGAAGGTAGACAGGTGAGGGTCTGTAACGGGACAACCAGTGGGTCCGGGCTGTCTGTCATGCTTGAGCCAATGAAGCAGAGACAGGGTTGAGTCCTACATGGGCGTTTATTCCAGTCCTGCCGGCAGCGTGGCAGAGCAGCGGGTCACCCACAAACATCTGCGCTGCCCCCCATAAGCCAGCTGCTTATACGGAGTAGACAAAGATTACACGGCGAAGTAGGCAAAAGGGATGCCAAATGGGTAGCGCAGGCTGGAGATTTGCAAAGGCCTGTGGGTAAGCCACGGCTGGGGGTCTTCACAGGGCTGGCGGCTCTGGTTTCCGCAACAGGGTTGCTAATCTGTCCATGATAATAGGCAGCTGCCGGATGGGGAGGAGGGGCCGCCTTTCCAGGTGAGCTCCCAGGTCCCAGGGCAGCTCCCAGCCAGGTGAGCATGCGCCTTCTGTAATCAGAACGAAGCGATCGCGGCTCCCAGAGCAGGATTGCTGTTTCTTACAATCCTAGCTGGTCCCCAGTATTCTAGAAGTGAGGAGAGAAATAACGGGGTGCTCGCAGGCCGCTGGAATAGCTCAAGGGACGCAGGAGTGCAGGAGCTGGGGGCAGCTCTGCAAAGGCGAGTGACTGAGTGGAGAAGCCCCGGAGGAAACACGTCCGTGTCAGGGGTGGGTTTGTTTCCCAACGGGGGAGGCATCCAGACTCATGCTCTATGATGTTATCGCAGAACTCGATTTACTAATATTTTAATTAAATGCCGCACGTGTCAGTGAGCATGACACACCCCTTTCCCTGATTTACCAGGGTTGTTAGTGGTCACTGGTTCTAAGCCTTAAGCTCTCAGATACCGAAAGGCCAGGGCCCCGAGAACCTGGTGCTGCGTCGACATTGCAGACATTCCTCTCAATGACCCGGAACCTGGCGTCGCGCCCGGGCGGCGAGCTCTCCCCGCGCAGCGCCCCTCCACCGCCGGACGAGCTGGAGACTTGGAAGACGCTCCCTAACTGGACGGCACGCAGACTTATGGGAAATAGAGTCCCGCTGCCCCGGGTGGGCCCCGGCCGGCGACTTCCGGCGTCCTCGTGCGCATGTGCACTCGGGCTGTG